CTCTCTCTCTCTCTCTCTCTCTCTCTCTCTCTCTCTCTCTCTCTGTCTCGATCTTGGTGTCTTGCCCAGGATGGCCTTCACCCCTGGAAAACAATCCTTTTGCCTCAGCCTCCCAACTAAGACAGGTGTATGCCACCACAGATGGCTATTTCTTTCTTCTGATCACAAAAAGGACTTTGGATAATGGAAGAGATCATTCAGATTTCTGAACAAGGATTAAAATTATTTCCATGGGAAGATCTCAGTACTACCTAGAGATAGATAACCCCTGTTATTTTCATTTTACTAATGTTGAAATCAACACCCAGAGATTAAATGATCTACCTTAAGTTACAAACCAGCAAACAGTAGCAGCCACAGCACAGTGATCGAATCCACACATCTTGTCTTACACTTCCTGCTTAAGCACTGATTCCATCTCCTAAGCCATTAGGCAGATCTACATTGAATGATAAGCATAAACTCCAGAGGGTGGAGCCACAACCTTTCCAAGTGTGCCCATTCCTCATGTATTTGATACATCTTTAGGCCTGACAAGCTTGTGACCTCGGAACATGGGCATGCAGCTTGATGTCCAAACTACAGCCCTGAGCGTAGGGATCTGGGAAGTCCATTCCTTCATTGGAACTGCCTCCTCCCCACCTCTCTCAAACTCAAGGAAGGCCCAGGAGTTGCCTGTTGTCTCCATCTGTCTATCAGGCCTCCTTCCAGGGCCTCGGAGGAGCCTTGGAGGTGTATTCATATAGGCATATTTGTGAAATTCATAAATATTTAAATTACCAACAGCTATGACCTCTGCTACTTCTAAGCCTTCTCACTTTCCCTATATAGGTTGGTTTTTAAGTGGCCGTGGGCCTTTTTCTAGGATCTGGTTAAGAGGAAACTGTTGGAAATGGGATAAAGGGATTGAAAATGATCAAAGTATGGTATATACATGTACTAATCCCCCAAAACAGGGGTAATCATGTTGTATTGCAAAAATACACTAATAAAAAATAAAAAAGAGGAAAGTGAATACCACATATGCTAGACCTCAAAAAACTTCAAGTTTGAGATACAATATTTTTAAGAGCTTTATTCAAGTATTATTATTAATGTACAAAAAAACCCCACATATTTAAAGTGTACATTGTTTTGGTTCTGTATTGAACCTAGGGCCTTTACACTGAGCTATATTACCAGCCCTTATTTATTTATTCATCCATTTGTTTAATTTTGAGACAGTTGCCAAATCACTAAATTGTCTAAGGTGGGCTTGAACTTGCAACTCTCCTGACTTAAGCTCCCTGAGTGTGCAGTGTGATGAATTTTAATTTATGACTAGCTTAAGTAACCATCACCCGATCAAAATAATGAACGTATCCAAACATTTCCTCATATCTCTCTGAAAATCTCAAAAATTTTTGATGTGTCTTTGTAATTTCTCCTTCTTGCCTTCACCCCATCCCCAGGAAATTGTTGATCTGGTTTTTGCTGGTATAAATTAGCTTGTGCCTTCTATAAATGAAACCAAACAGCATGTGAAACTTTTTGGTTTTTGTTTTTTTTGTTTTTTTGTTTTTTCTATTGTAGGAGGTTGAAACAGGATCTCACTTTAGAGTTCAGGCTGGTCTTAAACTCACTATGTAGGCTAGGCTGACCTCAAACTCGCAGTGATCCTTCTGCCTAAGCCACCCAAGTGCTGAGATTACAGGAGCCACCACACCTGCTTGGTTTGGCTTTTTTCAAAATAATTATATTATTGGTTTATCCATGTTGATTTTATGTTGTTGTATCAACAGCTCATTCTTTTTTATTTCTAAATATCTCAATTTTTAGGATATGCCAATTTGCTTATTGATTCAGTTGTTGAGAGATACTTGCATTGTTTCTAATTTGGGGCTATTACAAACAGAGGTGCTATGAACATCTTTGTACAAATATGTATGTATGTATTTTGATAGTCATATGCCTTCTTGGATAAATACTTGGAAGTAGAGTGGCATTGGCCTGGGGATTTAGCTTAGTGGTGCTGCCACCTGCCCTGTAAGTGCAAGGTCCCAAGTTTGATCCCTGATGGCAACAAAATAATAATAATAATTATTATTGGAAGTAGAATGCCTAAGTCATGTGATAGGTGTATATTTAATTTTTGAAGTCAAGTTAAAGTGGTTGTGCTACATTTCTAGTAATGTATGAAAGTTCTACCTTATCCATCTCTTTGCCAGTAATTAGTATGATTAGTCTTTTATTTTAGCTATTCTAATAAATGCAGTAGAATATCATTATGGTTTAAATTTACATTTTCCTAATTGCTAATGATATTGCTTATCTTTTCATGTGCTTATTTTCCAGACTTACAACTTCTCTATGAAGTTTTTTTTTTCAAATCTTTAGCTCATTTTAAAAATTTGGGTTGGATTATGGTGGCACATACTGGTAATCCCAGCTACCAGGGGTGCCAAGGCAAGAGGACTGTAAGTTTGAGACTGACTGGACAAGTTTGCACAATCTTGTCTCAAAATAAAGAAATAAAAATGCTGGAGATGCACCTCAGTGGTAGAGCAGTCACCTAGCATGTGTGAGACCCTGGTTTCAATTCCCAATATTGTAAAGAAAAAAATGAGTTGTTTGTGTTCTTTGTATTTCATCTTGAGAGTTCTCTGTATGTTTGGGGCACTCCCAGGCATGGTCTCACTCCACGGGGTCAGGGTGGTACAATCACTTTTCAGAATATTTCCAAAGCTGACTACTGATTTGAATGATGCCATCCATGGGACATCCAGCCCTGTGTGGTCCACAGCGCCCTGGGCCAAAGTGGTCTCATTCCTTCTCAGGGCTTTTCTTCTAGCATGATGGGTGGAGGAAAATAGTTCAGACCTGCAAACATAATCTTGCCTATGGTTCTGTCTCACAATCTCGCATGAGCAAATACCTTAACAAAAATAAACCTCCACCACTTAGGAACTCCCATTTTCAAGGCCACTCCAGTCCAGATTCACAATCAGAAAAGCAAAAAAAAAACAAAAAACAAAAAAAAACCCAAAACAAAAAACACAAAACTTCCTTGCTCTGAAAGTACATAGTTCTGCTCCCAGTTGATATCTCCAAATGAAAGGCTTAATAGTTTAAAGCTTAACATTTGGACCCTTCAGATGCTTTACAACTGCCTGCAGTTGTCTTCACATTGATCCCAAAACAATTGATGATTCCTGCTTGTTTGCATTTTTCAGGTCCTATTTTGGCAACTCCCAATGCAGAACATCAATAGTAAGTTAATTTTTTCAGTTTCTCCAAACACTAAAGTTATTTATCTGCTGTATACTAATATACATATATGCAAGTACTTATTAAATATAAAATTTAAGGGCCGGGGATTTAGCTTGCAAGCGCAAGGTCCTGAGTTCGATCCCCCCATGTGTATATATATTATATATATTTATTTAGGTTATAATTACTATATGATATATCACATATATTTATATTCTCAACTCTCCTTTCTAAAAATCTTCTGGTTGAAGGAAGGCTTGAGGGAGGGGGACTTGGAAAAATCTAGATCAATGAACAAACATTCTGAAGTTTGATTTTAAGCCTAACTTCAGGCCATTTCCAAACACTGATGCAACTCTGATAGAATTGTGAGAGCCACTCTACACAGAGCCAAGAAGTCAGTGGCAGAATGTTTTCTCCTTCTAAACTTTTCCTGCTCTTATAACCTACAGTTGTGCAAAAAACAAAGAAAGGTATTATAGAGGGACACAAAGTAGGAAAAGTCATGGAAATCAGAGCTAAAGTGATACAAAGGACTCTCATTTATATGAGATAGTTACAAGGTTACAGAGCACACAGGGAGGTAAGGGAAGTCACTGCTCATTCTAATCAACTGATATGAATATTAGTTATATCTCTTGGCACTGGCAACCTGCAAATATTTCCTGAGCTTTTACCATTTTTTCTGTCTTAACCTCCTGTTTGTGGTAATTTTGTGCTCAAGTTAGAAAATTTTCAAGTCATTTTTCCACCAGAATTTTATTGCAGAATTTTGAAAAAAGTTTGGATGCTGAAACTAAGTTGCTCAAAAGTCATAGTCGTTTGGGAACATGCCGTGGTACTGACAGGCAAGAGAGCTTTTTAGAGATGAGACCTAGTGGAAGCTGATTAGGTCATGGGAGCATCACCCTCAGGCAGAATTCACATATGCAGTTCTTGAAGTATAAGCGCTCACAAGAGTAGGTTGTTATAAACTGAAGCTGCCCCATGTGCTTGGCCCCTTCTGTATATATGCATTTCCCTTCCCAATTCTTGGCCATGTTGTAACACCCATGGAGGCCCTTGCCAAATGCCAGCACCATACTTTTTGGGTTTTCCAACCACCAGAATTGTGAGCCAAATAGCCCTCTTTCCTTATAAACTATTCAGCTTCAGCTATTTTGTCATAGCAACACAAAATGGGTTAAAACAAGGATCAAAATGTATTATATCCCTTAAAGCCCCTGAGTGCTTATCATATCAATATAGCGTTGTTATCAACATCATCTTTTTCTTCACAAAGTATTCCTCCCATTTTTAGCATTAACCATGTGCCAGACCCCAAACTATGTACTTTATACATTATCTTTTTCAACTTATAGCAGCCCTACATGTTAATTATTGTTCCTTCTTCAAAAATTGAAAAACTGAGGCACAGAGAAATTAAATAATTTGTTCAAAGCCAGAAATTAGTAAATGGTGGAGTTAAATGTCAAGAGCCATTCTATTTAATTTTGGGGGAAAATCATTTCATAATTAAATTATGATTAGGGCTGTCTGAGGCCCAATGTCACCCTGCCCGTGAGCTGGCTATGGTATGTGGAAATGTAACTCCATGTACCTCTGGTCACAAGTTGAGGCCTCAATGGTCCATGATGATGTGATGCTCAAGGGCAAGATTGTATCAGCTGAAGACATCCTGGTTCTTTGAGAACTGAGTAGTAATAAAAAAAAAGAGAAAGGTTTCACTTGGGGGAAGGACAAATTGTTGTTAAAGGGATTAAAACAGACTGTAATAGTGGAGCCCAAGGACCATTTATTTTGGGGCTCTTAGACTTACTACTTACTTACTGCCTGATGATGTGAGATGTCGTGCCTGCTCCTGTCTGTCTCCTAGTCAATACTTACATTCTAATGTTCAATTACAAGATCAAGCTATGGATCAGGGTGATAGAAACAGATGGCATGATAGGGCTAATATAACTGCAGAAATGTTACTGAACATGGGACAATTTGCAAACATAGCCCAACTGTTGTAGTATACTTTTGAGACTTTTGGAAGTTTTTGTTTTGTTTTTTGGTGGGTACCTGGGATTGGACTCTGGACCTAATGCTTGTGAGGCAGGCAGTAGAACCACTGAGCTAAATACACTTTTTGAGACTTTTAAATAAATAGGACATATAATGAAAAGAGATTAGCTTGCTGTGCCCAAGGACAGGGCTCCTGTCCAATCTTTTCTTAAGGCATTGACCTCCCAGCACAATATGTACTTTGAAATTATGTCTCTGTTGTCTTTCTTTCTTTAGCCCTTGCTGTCCCCCTCTCTAGACAGATCAGAGGATTGATAAGCCTCCAGTAATTAAAAATCTGTTTAATCCCAGAGTCATGCATATAACTTCTTACCATATTCATTTTATTCAGTAAGTGATATTCATAGAAATGGATTTACCATGAAGCTGATGAGATTTAAGCACCAGGCTCTTGACTTGTCCAACCCCCTTCCAAAGGTTGGGAGTGGAGTTTCCTAACAATGTGTTCCCATTGTCTTGTGTTTTTGTAAAATAGCCGGTCAATTAAAATTCTTCACTCCTCTTCTATCATATGTATCTGCTCATCAAGTGCCATTAGAGTGTGGAAATCTGGGGAATTGTGCTGAATTGGGAATCTGGGAATATCTTTTATCTGGAATTTGTGTGATATTTTATGTTGTCCACAATTGTTTTTGCACACAGTGATGCTATTACCACCTAAGTTATATAGGCATAGCTTTTAGTAATACTCTTACCTCTCACTGTGCCAAGTCAAAGAGTTAAGTTTTTGGGTCAGGGATTTAGCCCAGTGGTTCCACCGCCTGCCCCACAAGCGCAAGGTCCAAAGTTTGATCCTGGTACAAAAAAAAAAAAAATTTACATTTTTAAAAATAGTTTAAAAGAGGGCCAGGAATTTAGCTTAGTGGTTCCACTGCCTGCTTTGTAAGTGCAAGTTCCCAAGAAAAGAAAATGACAGAAGTGTATTTGATCTGTCCATTTTATTTTATTTTTTATTTTTTGGGAGAGTCTGACACAGGGTCCCACTATATAGTTCAGCAGGTAATCCTCAAACTCACTATGCAGGCCAGGTTGGCCTCAATCCTCCTCCCTCAGCTTCTTGAGTAGTGAATTATGAGTATATAACACTAAGCTCAGTGGTCTGTCTATTTTAAAAGTCATTTGAGACATTTGGAAAGATCAGAAGTTAGCTTGAATTCTTTTTCTTGTGCTAAGGATCGAACCCACGGTCTCCTGCATGTTGGACAAGCACTCTATCACTGAACTGAACTTTTTATAGAAGACAAATGTCCTAAGAAATTTACATCATAATGAAGTACTGTCTTCTACCTATATGGAGGAAATTTCATTAAAAGTATTCCTGAAAATCAGGGCGTGGTGGTGCACACCTATAATCCCAGCATTTGAGAGCTGAGGCAGGAGGATTGCTGCAAATTTGAGGCCAGTCTGGCCTATAGAGTGAGTTCAAGACCAGCCTGAATTCATAGTGAGGTCCTTCTGAAAAAACAAAACAAAAAATTTCTGAAAGAAAATCTTGAGCTACAGTTATCATATTTGTATAAAAATTTAATACTACAGATTCATTCTCAAGAATATAAGGACTAGAGTGACATTTTGTTCCTGTAATTGTTTTTATTTTTTGTTGTTGTTTGGTAATGATAAATTTTGGTTTTAATATTCAGGGTATCTTACCCTGCCCAGGATGTCAGGTCATGAAGAAGGCTGCCCAAGGGGCAGCATAGCTGTGGGCACTGAACCAGAAAGATCCTATGGCCTATGCCCGCAACTAATGAGTGGGCTTGTGAGCAGCAGGTAACTCTCCAAGTGGACTTACTACAAATGCTGTGGATTCAGTCTGTATGCTCACTGTCCTTACTTAGGCAGCTGAGGTGTGTGTGTGTGTGTGTGTGTGTGTGTGTGTGTGTGTGTGTGTGTGTGTGTGTGTGTGTGATGTGTGTGTGTGTGTGTGTGTGTGTTACTGAGGATTGGACCCAGGGGCACTGATGTAGCACTGAGCTATATCTCTGTCCCTTATTATTTTTTATTTTGAGTGAGGATCTTTCTAACTTGCCCAGGCTGAGTTTAACTTGAGATCCTCCTGCTTCAGCTTTCTAAATTGATAGGATTATAGGCTGTATCACCACACCCAACTGAATCTTTGTAGACAATAAACATTTGTCCAGTTTCTGTATAACAGAAAGGCGATTAAGATTAGATTAAAAAACAAAAACAAAAGGATTTGTGTGGTAAAACAACCCAAAGGGCCAGCAGATACCAAACAGATTCATTTTCAAACCCATGTTAAGCCAAAACATAAAACTCAAAACAGTCATGTTCCCAGTTAAAACAGAAATACTCTGTGAGCTGTGGTGAGCTAAGTCCAACAACATCATTTAATAATATACTAAATGTCCCCTCTATCAGCCATGCTTAAATAGAATAAGGCAGTAATTATATCATTGATGTAGAAACACCAAGATACTATCTGAATGAAGTAGTAATTATATAGAAAGGGCTTGAGAGTGAACTTGACCAGAGAACATGTCATCAAGTTTCCTGGAAGAGTCATCGCTGTTGTAGCTGGATGATACTTGGAGATTCGTTATTCTATTCTTTCACCTTTTGTGCTTGAAATTGTCCATCAAAAGAAATGACTAAAAAGTAAATACATAAAAGGGTAGAAAAACTCACATAAAAGGGTGGTGCCTTTTTACTTCTCTAGAAGAAATACTATATAATTCAACAACAGGTTACAGAAAAAGTGAATATCTCTACAATCAGTACAACTAGCCTTTATTACAAACTAAATTCATATTCTTGAAAACTTTTACATTATTATATGTGTGTGTGTGTGTGTGTGTGTGTGTGTGTATAT